TAAGTAATTTATTTCTCTTCTCCGTTTCCGGTACGTAATGTTAATCTTACTAAATGTGAACGGGCTATCCAGCTAAAGTATACTGAGATTATATCATTATATCGATTATTTTTGTATCTTATTATTCAAACTGCATACAGCTGAGCTGATAAAACCCTATAAGATTAAATGAATTCATCTTATCCTATAATAGTTGTGTTCTTGTTGCGTTATTCTCAAACTGGTCAGGGGAACTGACTGCATGAATCTTCTCGATTGAGTTTAGCAGTCTGGCCTAGTTTACTAGTTCTCTAGTTTTCTATAGACAGTCCCAAACCCGGAAAAAAAGAGGGGAGGCTGGATGTGGGGCTAACAACCCTACCCCCAGTACAAAAACTTCAATGCAAAAGCCCTATGTTCCACTGGGAACCAAAGAGAATAACAATTTAATCATCTCTTTATTTTAAGCCTAATCACATTTTAGTACCAGAATGGGTAAACCAAGTACTACTTCTAGAAAACCAAGTTACCTTGATCGAAAACTGGGTAGTAACTTATGTCTGATAGAATTCAGCATGAACCAACATCAAGGACTTCATGGCACCAGTGACTTACTTACTGCCTAGTGTTCAATCAAAGTATTCATTACAGGTCCAAAGGTCCCAGAATAACTCAGTGGTAAGTTGTTTGACTGCAGCACTGGGTAACGTGAGTTCGAATCTTAGAAAGGATTTGAGTTCCTTCAAGATATAATGGAGAAGATTTTTAACTCAGGTGGGCAATTTTGATGTAGTTGTGTTCTCTCAGCTGGATGGTTTGTTTATGGACACACTGACGTAGACAAAATTTACCAGTCTCACAAACAAAAGGTCAAACTTCAGGTCAAGGAAACAATCACCACCAATATCAATACAAGTAGCCTAGATGGTGTGAAAACACACAAAAACAACTAATCACGTTCAAGATCGCCAGGGGAGATGACTTATAAACTCGTGCAGAAATCTAAAAGCTTACTTCAATTCAAATTGAAGTTGCCTAGTGTTGGGGAAATGAAAGCTTCGTAAATAAACCATCTAGCTCAGAGAACATAACGGCATCAAAATTCCTTCAAGATTGCAGACACATCTCGCTGACCTACGAGTGCCAACAACCGTGAATCTTAGGTGGAATCCATCCTGCTGATTGCTTCCAACCAAGTAGTAAAAAAGGCTAGGTTTTATCATTTCACACCCAAATAAAAGGTTAGGAACTTCGTATCAGTTTCAAGACTGTAATGCGTAACTTGTTAATCAGATTAGTAAAATTTAGAACAACACATTTAAGCGAACAATATTGTTTTCAATCAGATCTCATCAGGCTTAACTCTATTATACATAAGTTTACAAATAAAATTCAAATAAAAACCAATCATGGTGTTTTGTCTATAGGATAATAAGATGGTGAATATAAATTGTGCAATTAGTCATAATAATTCATCGTATCCCACCGAATCTTTCAAATAGACTTCGTATTCGTCTACTGCACACAGCTGAGGCGATATGCATTCAAAACTATCCATTCAAAAGAAGTTCATACACCCATTATCCCTCCCTTGTGGGCCTATTAAGACATAACCTAACTGATGCAGAATCTTCTGAACACCTTGAGCAGCAATCTTCGTATGTTTGGAATGCGATTCGCCCCTACAAAATGCTGCTACAGGACTGGACTACGTCAACTCCTAGCTTAGTGAGACGGAGTGGTGATAGAATATGTTGACCACTCCACCTATTTGGGAAGTTGTATCAGCACCAACGGACTGATTGGCGATGAAATATCAGCACGGATCCGAAAAGCTCGAGCTGCTTTCGCTGACTTACACCATCTCTGGCGTAGGCGTGACATCCGGTTATCAACCAAGGGACGTGTGTACTGCTCATCAGTTCGCTCCGTCCTTCTCTATGGCTCTGAAACATGGCCAATACGCGTTGAAGACATGAAAAGGTTGACTGCTTTCGATCATAGATGTCTGCGATCTCTGTCTCACGTTAGGTGGTTTAATAAGGTAAGTAATGTTGACGTTAGGCGTAGAGTGTTGGGCGAAGAGGGAAAATCAATCGACGAGGCTATAAAGTTACATAGATTGAGATGGCTAGGTCACGTGGTGCGCATGCCTAACCATCGCCTCCCCCGACGACAGGCATTACTAGCTGATATAGGTGCAGGTTGGAAAAGAGTAAGTGGTGGCCAAACAAAAACATGGCCTCATCAATCCATGAAATCCTTGACAGTTAAACTGAGTCGGTCAGGTAGGGAGATGCAGACTTCCGGGTTGGGGCCATCGGGACTCTAGGAATCAATGGCTGGAGACAATAGGTGACATGGCTCAAAATCGTTGTCAATGGCCAGCGCAGATGCATATTCAGTCTCTGTAATCTTTCATATTCCTTTCTGCCATTACCCATTCTGTTTCGCTCTTATGCTTGTCAAACCCTATTGATTCTCTTCACTCATCTTCTTGTTTACCTTTGTGTGCTATTTGGAACGTGGCAACTCGAGCTGCTGCACTTCGGAGCCACGTTCGATGTTGAATCCAGACAGAGACAGACAGATGACTTCTCCACCACCCTATACTTATATTTTCAACGCCTCTCTTATCATCCCTTAATTTTATCACATCTTCATTAAAAATATGTTTCATTTACTTCCCTTACAATCAGTCTAGCATTACTTAGTCGGTTCATTTGTTTTTACAAGCCTTTATCGACTACTTCCACTTGAACATTTGTTTGTTTAATCATACTGTTTTTCATTATTCGTGTTATCACAGATTGCCTCACTTTTTCATCCATGCTATTGAGAGAACCATTATTATTATCATTACCACTATTACGATTAATTGCACAATTTATATTCACCATCTTATTATCCTATAGACAAAAACACCATGATTGGTTTATATTTGAATTTTATTTGTAAACTTATATATATATTAGAGTTAAGCCTGATGAGATCTAATTGAAACCACAATATTGTTCACTTAAATGTGTTCTTCCAAAAATTTTACTATGGGAATATTTAACGTATTGAAATCAGATTAGAGTCTAAAATGTTAACACGGTTGACAGATTTCTACATAGAGTAATAACTTCATGACTATATATATATATATAATCTGTTCACCGCCACATATATTTCCTCACTTCGGCTTCCTTCTTCTTCTTCTTCCCATAGCTTGTTTCTCAATCGCTGACGTCAATGTTTTTCTGCCTTGTTGAAATCCCTAACACTCAATTTCAGTTAGCTTGTTTTGGTCGAAGTCTAGCGGCTGGAAACATTATGTTTTTGTTTCATACGAGATATCGAGAGTGATCATAAAATGATTTCAGTTAGAATAACATTGAAAACCAAGATATACTGTACAACTGTTTCGTCCTAGATTCGGCCTCTTCGACGGCACCTACCGATGACTCCATTGAGGATCAGACCTAGGATCTCAATGTTACGAGGCGAGTTCATTGAACGTTTAATCACCAGGACAAAATTATAGACTCCTCGGCCCAGTTTGAAGGATTGTAGAATTAAGCATACTATTTCCTGAAACGGAACCAGTCTTCAGTATGTTACTTTTCCTAACAGTATCATTCATAAATCTCTATCGAAGGTACACTCGTGTGTCCTTACAGAGTGGTAATTCTTTTTCAGATAACTAATATATATATGAATTTTGTCGGTTACACATACCTTGATATGGGATCTATTGTAGTCTATATTTTAAATACTGTTCAATCTGAAGCAGTAATTACTCTAAGTTTCTCATCATCCCATCACTTTAAGATTATGATACATAAATGGAAAGTTTATAGTTAACTTTCACCTTCAGATTCCGGACGCAACAGAGGGCTTCAAGCTTGAGTTTTGAAGTTTCAGTAGCAGTGAGGTTCCTAGCCTCACGCCCAACCTTCCCTCGTTACTGGGCTTGCCACCGAATAAGCGAGGTTTAGACGTGAACGAGCTGGGTATCGAACCCCGGACTAAATGCGCGGTAGACGAGTATTCTGCCGCTAAACTATCACCGTCATACACTCTCCCACCTTCATGATCTACTGTAAATTCGATAACTGGATAGTCACTGCTGAACATTTGCTCCAACAGCTTTAATTATGAACAAAATTGGTAGATGCAATAACCGACAGAGATATCAACTGATCTACAGTAACTGTTCATACACCTTGTGGACGATTCAAAGACTGAGACAAAATCCGACGACGCATCAATTCTCACTTCTACCAATTTGCGATATGAGGTAAATGCGTAAAGCTGATAGGTCTAAAATGTTTACAACAAATGGATCATTACAACAAAAGTCAATCACTGCTACACACATGTGTTCCTTCTGATAATGTTTGTATCATCCCCACAAATGACCTGACACGGCGAAGGGTGGGTTGACACTGTTCTTTCCCTCAAAATCCTCTCACGTGGCCATGTCTTATTCACTACGTTCACACGAGCAGAATTGTTTCCATAAGAGTGAAACGGCAGATTCAGATATTCGACGCCATTGAGTGGACTGCTGGGGACATGTAGCTTCACCTAGGGGAGTTTAAGAAAAACCTGACTCCAAACCTGTGGTACGCATCGTTTCCGGAAACTAAAACCAATGAATGATGTATGAGCGTGTTGTCAAAAACCCCACTCAGCTGTCTTGTAGGTCAGGATTTAAAAGAAAGGCTTGGAGAATGATATTGGCAGGCAGTATCTTAGTCCTTACGCAAATCATGAAACAACAGTTGATGAAAATCTCCACCTCTTTTACATCGTATCTACTTCCTAGAAAATGACATGGGTTAATCCTCTGAGGTTACTGCAAATCATCTCCACTGAAAGCTTTACAACAGTAACAAGTTAGAAAAGGAAAACAAATATATATACATATGTCTATATATATATATATATATATATATATATATATATATATATATATATATATATATATATATATATATATATATAGTGATGAAATTATTGACAGTAAAAGATTAGTGTTTAAGTTTGATGATTTTAGTTTGAATATTCGTTATACTGACTTCGCACTTGCCTTCTTCATCATATTCAAACCAGCTCTACAAAAAAGGGGGCAAAACAATAAAGATTTTTCTATACAATCACACTAAATTAGTCATCTGAAGACTTTTACAAAAGTTTAGGAACGATTTTTATCACAAAACTCAGCTGTTTCTGGGGGCAGATTTAATTGTCCAGATAATGTTGGAGACTCGCATATGACCACTTCGACGTGCATATATCATTTCACCTGTTGCTGTGCAGCCAGCTTATTGGTCGTTCGACGCACATTCTGTCCAAGAGGAGTAAAGAACACTGCTCAGCGTGGTTGCGAAAGGGCAATAGCGGTGCTATAAGGAGTGCGATAATCGAACGCCTTGTAAACATTGGTCATTCCATCTCAACAAACGCCTCCTACTTCAAAGTAATCTGCAGAGTCAAGAATAACCTAATAATGACAATAAGGTTTCGTCTTCCTTGTATTACTGAAGCTCTGGTCATTCATATAAAAAGACCGCAGCTGTGTATAGAAAAGAGAATCACTCAACCACTTCTACTATCAACAACTAACAACTTTGTTGATTTTTGATGACTTAATTTCGTTTGTTTGCCTATTTCTCTAAGTGCTTATAATTCTTGTATTCATTCCGAACTCTTACGTAATTTCGTACTCTCTACTTTGTTCTTGTGCATATCCTGAGAACAACTCAATCATCAAACTATTCACATTACTACGTAACTCTCTTTTAACAACTGTTTGTAACAACTCATCACTTTTGTTACAACCCTAGTTTCATCAACACCCAATTTTCTTGACAGTTTTTGTACTACGTAACTCCACTCAAAACTTACTAATATTTACCTATCTAGTTAAAATAACTATAACCAGTTGTATTTTTGTTTGAAAAACTTAATGTACACATACACAAAAAATAACCCATATACAGGTAAGAAAATGAATTCGCCAAAAAGAGACTATTCGCTAAACACTACGTGTTTTCTTTTCATTAATGTTAGAAACGTTCAATTTTGAGTTTATATTTCCAGGATAAACAAACCAATTCAAACAAATAAATAAATCTAGACTGAAATCTTAGACCACTTAGATAATAGTAATTAAAGTAAATTATACACTTGGCACATGGTGTTACGCATTCCAAGTTTCACGGCCTTTTTCGTCGAGAAATTTTAGCTGCTTTCGGACAAGAAGGGAAAAGAGTTAGGAATGGTCAAATCAAAATGTAGCATTAATTCATGAAGTCTTTGGCTGGTGGTTTGAATCACTTGGGGAAAATGTATAGGTTGTCCCCGGACTGGAGTCTTCGAGGTGCTAAGAATTAACACCTTGAGATTGTTGGTAAAATGGCTCAGAACTCTTCTCAATGGTGCAGATGTATGCAGTCCTTGTGAGCTCACAGATCAACTAAATTTTTTTTATTCTCCATGTAATTGTTATTTTTTCTTCCATACAATTTCGTTTATCATTCTTTTTTCCCATATCCTGTTTTCTATCTTTCTGTGTAGTTTTATGAAGTGTGACAACTTGAACCACTTCAACAACCCTTACTGAAAATTCAGTTGAATTCAACTAATATAAAATCTTAAGATAAATCCAACTTAGGCTCAACGAGCAAGCAAAATAGCAATACATTATAGGATCATAAAAATAATAGACGCTATTAACAAAATTCTTCATACCTTAACCACTTAAGAATGATAGGTAAAAAACACGATTATCTCATTTCGAAGAAAATGGAAAACACATGTATTTATATATTTGTATGTAATAAAGTGTATTGCTATCTCTGCAATATACGGTCTTTACTGCACTCAGTAATCGCAATATACCGGTACTTAACTGAATACTTCTAGTGTCCTACGGAAACTTTTACAGAGACTAAAATGTTAACACCAATGAAACAAGTGAAGCGTCGGTGGCACAGTGGTTAGGACTCTCGCCGACTATCCACATGGTCCGAGGTTCAATCCCCTGTCGACGCACACCTGATATTAATGGTCGGCCTGCAAAATTTGAGCTACCGATATCCATGGTGAAAGTTCCATACTTGTACCACAAATACAGTGTGGAATCAAGCTGTAATCAAAATAAAATAAATAAATAAATAACTCCAGTTGTTTGAATTTCATATAGTCATACCTCATCTCCAAGAGAAATATCATTAAAAACTGTATCCGAGTTAACCCCTGAAGCAGACCAACCAACACGAGGAGAGAATTCAATGAATTCTAAACCTCGACAATCGAATTTTGCAATAGTCTTGAATTGACCAGAATCTTCACATTGATATGAAGCTATACTACCAGGAACGAGGTCTACAATATAATGGGGGTATAAATAAACCTGTTTATATAAAAACTCATTTGACGGAAATGAGAACATCTGATTACATAACACATAAACTTATATAAAATGAAACATATATACCAGGTATAAAACTATGAATAAAACAGGGAACTGAGACATCGATGAAACGCGAGCCTTTTCTTAAGTTTTGTTTATAAATAATTAAAGGGAAATCAAAACGAGACTCTTTTCAACAAATTTATTTTCAAAATGTACAATCATAATTATATATATATATATATGGCTTTTCTCAAGGAACTATATACCGGTAGGAGATTGCAACAAAGGTTTTTAGTCGTGATGGTATGGAGGAAGGGTTAAACCTTTTAAGAAAAATCCTAAAAGAATATGGATTTCCATCACATTTTATAGGCAAGGGCATACAGTCAAAACCTATGGTATGTCCATAACCAAGAAAATACTTTACATGAACTTGGAATCCAAAGGCAACTTATTAGTCGATATCCTCAAAAGAAGGATCTCACAGTCCCTGAGAAGGACATTGCCTGCAGCACCAGTGAGAATAGCGTTTTCTAGACGACCACTACTGTTTAATAAACCAAGATCCTGCAGTTGACCAACTCTATGTACGTCTATCAATTCACCTGCTCTTCTGCAGCTAGGTATATAGGTCGTTCGACCCGGGTTTTGTACAAGTGGGTGCAAGAACACTATCCTGCATGATTACGAAGAGGTAAAAGTGGGACTATAAGAAACACGTTAATTGAACATCTAGTTGATTAGGTCTCTTCTTCTTAAGTTAGTTACAAGACGAAAAATAATTTACCCAAAATCATTACGTGCCCGACTCATCTGTATTGCTGAAACCATCTTTGGCCATCGAAATGGAAAAGCCTGATATCTGTATACAGAAGAAGTGTATTCAACCTTTCCGATTTTCATAGTCTTAATCAATCTATGCTTAAGTATGATAATCCCCCATTCGTACTTTGGCCCTGTTTATTCTAAACGGGGCCATTCTCAACCTCAGTTGTTACCTTACTACCAATATTCTCATTTTCAACTATCTGTGGTACTATGTCACTTGTCCTACTTGTCATTCATAATCAAATGCTTTTTTTGCAACATCAAATTCTATGTTATCAAACTCCACACCATGTTGTAAAACATTTCTATTTTACTTGTCTACTCATCCCGTAATTATAGACCCCTTTCCAATATATAAACATCCCATTAACTATTCTATACATATATGACATTATTTGTTTTGCCACTTGACACTTAACTATGATTGTAATTGCAAACATTTGGATTGTATTTCATACTAATATTATTTTTTGTATTCACATCTTTGTTTCAATCTTCTCACGGAATGTATAAGTGCTTAAAAATACTATTGTACAGCTTGATAATAAATCCGTTGAAAACAGTCTCTTCACTGAATCACTTGTTCTGATTTTAAACATGTCGCAATGGAAATTTTCCACAAATACAAATAATTAGGTAAACTGTCAGTTGGCTAATTTCGTCAACTTAACAGCTTTAATGTATGTATTTCCAAAACACCCACTTAAACTCAATTTTTGCGTCCCAATTGTATAATGCCCCGTTAGTAATACAGTCGCTGAAAATAATTTTCAAGTATATTTCTCCGGCCCCTAGTGGTAGTTGAGATGATATTAGATATTTGGAAGTGCCAACAGCAACAACAGACAACAATAAGCATAAATGGGAGGAACCTGAAAGAAACAACCTCCTTTACCTACCTACCTGGGAAGCATCGTTTCAACTACTACCGGACGGAACTGACGAGGATATCAAAGCCCGAATCGGAAAAGCAAGACAAGTTTTCATTGCTCTCAAGTCTATGTGGAGGTCAATAGCACTCAGAATGGAAAATAAGATCCGTATTCTCAACTCCAATGTGAAGTCAGTCAGTGCTACTATACGGATCAGAGACTTGGCGCGTCATAAAGAACACCTCAAACAAACTACACACCTTCATCAACAGCTGTCTTCGCTCAATACTCAAGATTAGATGGCCAGAAAAGATCAGCAACAGGGATCTCTAGCAATGGGTGAACCAACCAGAAGCCGATTGTGCAACAAATATGCAGGAAGAAATGGAGGTAGATTGGCCATACTTTGAGGAAACCATCACGTGACAACACTAGACAAGCCATCGCTCGAGTGGAACCCGAAAGGGGAGTGGCGAGTTGGTCGTCAGTGCAAGGGTGACTTGGAGGAGGTCATGTGTAAGCATGTGGGCAGACTTGGAGCGGGGTGAAAAAGTTGGCAGAGAACCGAACGCAATGGAGACGCGCGGCTGAAGCCCTACGTTCCTCTAGGAATTAAAGGAAATAATAATAATTTGGAAGTGCATCTCCACACAGCATGCGATGAATAATTATTCAAATTGTACAAAGGGAACTGGCCGTACAGAAAAACAGGTTGAGTAGCCAGTGTCAATCAGAAGTTGTGAAATCTGAATGGCTGTTTGCCTGATTAACGGAAAAATAATCAATATCCATGCTACTTGATTCTGAGACACAAAGTATCGAGACACTCTATAGACGCACACAACAGGATTTTTGCCATTACCGAAAAATGGACGACACACCTGCTGTGAACAACCTAATGCTTTAAATGGACAGTCATGTCGTCACCAAACTACCACATCTTAAGTTCCACGTATTACCAACATTATAAATTTTATGAAAGATGAAGCAAAAGTAAGTTCACTTAATAACCGTTTATATTTCTATGTATTTGGCAGTGAACCCTGCCTACCATATGATGCCTGATTGCGCTTCATGGTTGCCAAGACTCTCTCAAGTAAATTTGGTTTGAAGCGTGTGACCCGGTATTTGGAAGTCGAAAATCCACATCAATAAATCAAAATGACACAAGATAAAAATTCTACCCTCGCCACTACCTAATAACATAAATGCCTAAAGAATAAAGTCATTTCAAAGATCATATGTACCCATATAAATGTACGATCCGGAAATTAGTCAATCAAAAAGAAGTCTTTTGGTTGGATATGCTTTTACTGGTACCAGAAATGGGGCTGCCAGTTACCTTTGAGAAAAGATTCGCGGAAAACTTTTGTTTTACCAGGTATTAATACCGGACAGTGCAGTTTCCAGTTGACGGTAGCTACTTAGATTCGAAGTTATCTGAACCGATTTGTCTATATCTGCCTAGTTTATCCGGTCACACTAGTTAAATTGCTGTCAGGTGTTTAGATTATTTTGATCTCGTTAGTGACCACTGTTGGTTGGAGTGAATAGTCTCCGACCACTCATATGCTAGGAATATCTATTCACGTGTATTACTGTAATCAGATTCTCACATCTGTCCATCAATATCTAATTATATCAGTGGTCTAAGAATATGACAAAGCCATTCGAAGGCTTAAGCCGAGATAATAGGACGCTTACCCGCATTTGAAACCCGGCTACAAAACTTGCATCGGATAACTAAATTCGCATCCCCACGGCTATCATGCAACGGAGTTCTTTCCTAATAAGTGGATGAAATTTAAGAATTCATGAACTAACCAGACTGCAGAGGTAGACGTAATCATTTGTGACTTCACCACAACTTCCACATTTCGCCTATTCATGACAATATGGAAAATAATTTTCAAGTATTCTTACCTTCATATACCAGCGAAAATCATCACCTGACGGAGTCAAACTGGTAATATTTGTCAGTTCACAATTTATTTGAACACCGAGTAGCTCAGGAAAACTATTATTTTGACAAAGCTTACTACCATAATTAATTTAAGCAGACTTGAACTACGAAATAAATGTTACTGTGGGTCACTAAGAAGACAGAGCAGCGTGTACTTAGAGACCTTGGAAATCTTAGAAAATGAGAAGGTCAAGACGTGTTCAAAACGAGCAAGGACGATCGTTTCAATATCCAATGTCTCCTTGGGTAACTCGTGTTCCTAATATCGTTTTTACGAGCTAGTCTAAGCCAAGTTGGTTTCTTTGAACTTGATTCTCAGTTGCTAGGTAAATATTCCTAGCCTTCAGTAAACTTCTAGGTAGTTCGTCCCACCAACCGATTGCCATAGCTTTGGTTGACTGTAAAAGGAGTGATACTGAGACGGATTTCATGTGGTTAATACTATGTGGTGTGCTCGGACCCTATTGTTACTGTGAAGGGAAATGGTGCTTTTACCAAGCAGTTGTCTGGTGTGATCCAAAAGGGAGATGATACTAATCATAGGTATAATTAGTGTAAATTATGTAGGCTTAGGAAAAAGAAAGAAAATCTGTGGTGTCTGTAACAATGCGATTGTACAGTTTTTTGTTCGATGTCAAAAAGAGAAACATTGTACACAACCTATTTTGAAACGATTCATGGTGAAATATACAAAAATTCGGAGTTTAATCAAAAATAGTGTGCTTCTCGACGCCTCGTCTTCTCACTGGTCCATACTATCTACTCGCTCCACTACTAACCGTGTTGTGTTCTTTGGATTTTCGCAGGAGCATCTTTTCCTAATCCGAAGACAGTGCACAGCTTCTACTAGTTGACACGACTCTAGCGGTGAATACCATTTTGGAATATATTAATAATTTCAGCGGCGGACTTTAACTGCATAACCAAGTAACCACTAATTCACATAACACATTAAGTGTATTTTTTACAACATACTGTGACACCATCATTTCATTAACTTGAATTTTTATTCTAACATTAGTTTCCTTACCAAGCTCAATACAAAGTCCCCTACAGGCGTAAAAACAGATAGCTGATGAAATTTGAAACTGACAAGTGTAATTGGATATAGCAATAAGAAGATGTAATTTGTCTGAATCGTGTAATGTACTTGCGCAACACATTTCGAACAATCTGATCCATCACACGGACTTGTCATAGGAACATATATGAAATTAATAAAGGGTTAAGAGGTGAGAAAATAGACTTAAGTCAAGTTAAAAGGACGTATTGAAGGTCAAAATAACAATGAAGACCCCTAAACCAAATAACTGAGGTAATAGTACATCTGCTATGGTATGAAAGTAAAGTTTACCAAAGAAGGTTGAAGGTAATGACGATTCAGACCAATGACGTCCTCCTATTGCTTCATCTAAATTCGTAATGTACACATGGAGTAAGCAGGTTTAAAATTTTCACTGACACGGTATATGTATACAAGGGAAGATAATGAAGTAATTACAGAAGCACACTTGGCGTAAGTTAAAAATATTTATATGGTGAAATCCCAGGCACCATTATTGTTTGAATTTGTCGAAAATGCCCGTAACAGCTGAGAGTTGCGTTACATTTGGTCGATATGGCGAGCTACTCGCAAAAGTGTAAAGATGGGTTATATAACGTTAGTTAGTTTACCGTAAACGATGTTTTGAGCAACGTGATCTGCAAGAGGCTCACCACACCAGTTAGTATCCAGTTAAACATGCGGAGAAGTATTAATGATTCAGCAACTGGTGAATTTTTGATCCTCTTCGGTCTGGAACCAGAATGACTGGAGCCAATCCATACAAAATGTCGAATGAAGCATACAGGAGCAGAATATTACCATCGAATGAGTCGGTGGGATCTGGAATGCAGCTGATAGCATATTTTCGTTGTTTCGTAGATAGCCAGGTTTATTGGCGCTGTATGAGCAGTGTTTTGGATTTGTCATCACGATCGACATATGGATGAATAGTTGGAGTAACCAGAAGAGAAGGTGTGAAGAAGTAAAAATGAGTTTACGCGTATACCTGTTAGTAGTGTATGAGTTTTAAGCGGAGAGGCTAATTGGCCCCAGTCCTTGTATCGCTGCATGGTCGTCCAGCATCCAGTTAAAGCCTTCCACGGAAAATGCAGTGGCCATACTGTCGGGAGGCGGTTCCGGGGTGGGCAAACTCAGAGTGGAAATAAATGGGAGCGCACTGGAGCCTTTACTGTCTGGCGAACTATCCTTCCTGAATAGCCACGAGGGTGGTTATCAATACTTAATGGCAGGGTACCTTTGTTCGGGCGATTCTTGTCATATATCTCTTCCCTTCTTGGCACTCACCTTATGCTGTTCTAGAAAAGCCATATATTTGGCATGCTCCAGTTCAATTTATCCACTCAACTGAGATGGCCTTGATGAAGACAATAATGTGTTTCGTATTAATTTACTTCGAGGGATGCATGATTTTTGCCAGGTCAGCGGCGTTGCTGGGACTTGCGAATTTCGTCTCACCGAGCAGCTCCTCAGTTATATAGACAAGCATTCTGGACAAAGCACCCGTCGGTGAGGTGAGAGGAAATCAAGAGATTGAGCAAGTCAAGTAATTGGAAGGCATGGCAAGACGATTGGCTTTTGGACAAACATGCCAGTGGGAGTATATTGACACAGAGCATGAATGAAAGTTGAGGCTCTTTTCAACGTGGAAATAATTTTTCGCATCCATGAGTTAAAAAATCTAAGTCTTAGGAATAAAGAAACGCGGGCAATTCAGTCGCCACATAACACTGGAGAAATAGCCAAACTCTTCAAAAGTAGGTTAACTAACTCCAAATCAATATATCCAAAAATAATACACCTTGGCGGCACTACTCACGAAAGTGCTGAGGATATATGTGAGGTGTTTAGCACGCACTTTGCCAAACTGTACACTCTAGAAAATGACCAGGATATAGATTTCCCTCGTAAAACAGAAAAGTGTCTAAGCGATGTAGTCTTAAACGCCCAAGAAATCGATAAAGCTATCAGAACCCTTAAGCTTACTAATACTCCCGGCCCAGATGGAATGTCTTCCGTCCTCTTAAAAAATGGTGGAAATGACATGAATCTACTTCTTCTCAAGATATTTTCAACTTCGATAAGGAGTGGAGCATATCCAAATAGCTGGAAGAAATCCTACGTTGTACCCATTCACAAAACCGGACCTACAGCGGACATAGATAATTACCGCCCCATCAACATTACTTCCGTAGTTTCACGTGTGATGGAAAAGATTGTAAAGAAGCAAATTTTTCAGTATTTGCTCTCGAATGACTTAATATCCCCTTTCCAATACGGTTTCCTAAATAGAAGATCGTGCATTACGTGCCAGTTAGATTATTTCGACCACATTACTGAATGTGTAGACAAAGGTCGTTCGGCAGCAACATTATTTCTAGATGTTAGGAAAGCTTTTGATAAAGTCCCACATAACAGACTCATACTGAAACTCCTATCTTATGGAATAAGTGGAAGGCTTCTTGAGTGGATAACTTCCTTTCTTACAGGAAGAGAACACTTAGTTAAAGTCAACCATCACTTATCAACATCCAAACCGATAACCAGCGGCGTGATACAAGGTAGTGTTCTTGGCCCTACCCTATTCATTGTACTCATAAATGATATTGTCTCTATGATCAAGTATGGCAAGCCATACCTCTTTGCAGATGACCTCAATGTTGTCTATGATTTTGACTATAATGATATGAATATTGCTAGTAAAATCCAACAAGACCTAAATAGTCTATGTAATTGGAGTGAAAAGTGGCAGTTAACGTTCAATCCAGCTAAATCTGGGATAACATACTTCGGACGTTGGAAACCTAGCATGTGTCTATACATGTACGGTGACCTTGTCTCAAACACGAACACAGTCACAGATCTCGGGATAACATACTCAGATCTTACCTTTACTGAACATGCAAATAAGGTGGTATCTGATTGTAAACGTTTAACCGACTTTGTGCTACGCAACTTTTACACTCCAGAAGCCAGATTAGCTATATATAAGATATGCATTCGCCCCAAACTTGAATACTGTGCCCACTTATACAGTAGCTTTAAATCAGCAGACAGAAAAAAAGTTGAAAGTGTCCAAAGATTCCTCACGAAACGCATATTAATGATTCACCTCAGCACTTTTACTTTTCTAAAACAGCTTTCAATCCCTTGTAAACGTTGTACTTACCTCAATATTGGTTGGTTATCGTATGCCGACAACCACGGGATGAAAACTAAACGAAGTCGATTTTCCCGCTCAACCTGGAGGACAATTGTACAATTCAATAACTATACAGCCTGGTTCAGACAATGAGTGTATTTATATATATATATAATATATATATATCAAATATTTAACTGTTGAAACATTATTAACTTGTAGACAATCTACGATTTGATAATATATCATACTTGATCGTGCCTGTAAAAGTGGCATGCATTTTCATGTAAATTTATATGTTTATATGAGAATATACATTATTATTATTATTTTATTAGGCTATGGTCAGCAAATAGAATACCTTGACAGATGTATTCGACTGGACTTAGAACCCTTATGGTTAAGGAGAGTGAAGTGCAATTTATTTCTCTTATTCAAAGTTATAAGAAAGCACTGTAACAGTAACTCATCCATAACCTGGGCTAATCCTAAATCGTATGGACTACGCAACCACAACTACCTTCTCAAGGTTAACACCCATAAACTCACCACTAGAGCTAACTTCTTCACCATTAAATATTGCAAACTTTGGAACCAACTACCCTCTGAGATAAGATCCTGTGAAAGGCCTGACAGTTTCAAAAGGAGCCTAGAAAAACATATAAACATGTCCACCCTAGCCCGCCTCAAAGATCTCAACTGCTGGCAGAGTGGTGAAACAATGGCATTTCAATATTTAACTTCAGAAAGTCCACTAGTTCCCAGACTAACATAATAATACTTAGCAATTATGTAGGTTCAATACTTGAAATTAGATTGTCATTAAAATATCTAAAATGATTAAAATACTTATGCGGCAAATGTTTTGGTTTACCGC